GCTTATTTATTACTGTATGGCAATGACATAATCATGATATCTTCTGACCCTGATGTTATCACAGCATTATTACTTCTTTATCTCAGGAATTTGCTATGACTGATCTAGGGGTGCTTCACCATTTTATGGGTGTCATAGCTACTTGTGATAAACATGGTTGATTTTTTTAGTAGGCTTCTTACACTCATGACATTCTTCAACGAGCTAATATGGCCTCATGTAAGCTATACGCTACACTAGTGGATATGTCCACAAAGCTTAGTGTCACCGACGGTGAACAACTCGTTGATGGTACTCTCTATCGTACTCTTGTCGGTTCTCTCCAATATCTAACTTTTACACGTCCTGACATTGCATATGTTGTCCAACAACTTTGTCTATTCATGCATGCTCTACGTAAGACCCATTTTCAGTTCATGAAGAAGATTTTTCGGTATCTACAAGGTACCATAGATTATAGTCTTATGTTGGTTGCATCTTCATATAACACACTTACTACCTACTCTGATGCTAACTGGGGCAGTTGTCTTGACTCGCGCTTATCCACTTCTACCTATTGTGTTTTTCATGGCAACAACCTGTGTCTTGGTCCTCCTAGCGCCAGCCAACTATTTCGTGCTCGAGTGTAGAAGCCGAATACCATGGTGTTGCTAATGTTATTCAGAGACTACCTGGATGTGTAATCTCTTACTTGAACTTTATGTTCACCTTTTCAGAGTGATGACTGCTTACTATGACAACGTATTTGCTGTCTATCTGCCATAAAACCCAATCCAACACCAGCACACCAAACATGTGGAGATTGATATAAACTTTGTGCATGAAAAGGGTCGTCTTGGCCATGTTCGAGTTCCTCACATTCCTACATATATGCAATATGCAGACATCTTCACAAAAGGCTTACATCGCTACTTGTATCAACAGTTTTGATCCAGTTTGAGCATCAGTCCTTCCCCAGCTCAAACTGTGGGGGATTATCCGCCGATCATATCTTACGAATGTATATATCTTGTAATTATATTTTATTGTATAATATCCTATTATATACCCCCCCCCTTTGTGGGTACATCTGTTTGTATTTATTCCATATATATAGTGCGTTATTTATCAAAAGAAAGGGATCGATCCATAAATCAATAATCATTGTTAAGTCAAAGCCCGGAGGCGATGCTTCGTGCTTGTCGACCTTCGTTCATATTTCTAGCCTTCTAGGGAGTCTGTCTTGTTGGTTTAGGTTAAGTCGATACGCAACACAACACAACCCTCACTTAAGTGAAATACCCCTTAGTTGATTTTACCAAATTGCCTTTACAATTAAAAAAGAAAATCTTAATTTACCAACCGATTACTGGCGAAATTTCAAATTTGTTGATATCCTTCGGTAAACCATCGGTATATTGTAACAGATTAACGACCAATTTTATTTTATTGTAGAACCGTCACAAAAAAAAAACATCGCTAATATCCTAATAACTCGTCCATCGGAAATCTGTCGGTATCTAGTCGTTTTTTCTAACAAATTTTACTTAGATCAATTTACCTTGGGGTTTAGGTCTTGCAACCCATAGATCAATTTTTACACTAGTAGAGTAGCTTGGAGGCGATTTTGGAGAGCTAGAGCATTCATCTTCTCATTCTTCTAGTATTTGCTAATTCCTTAATGTTAAAACATTTTTATGATTATTGTGTTGTTGCTATGAGTGGCTAATTACCTTATTTTGGTTGACTGAGGGCTAAAACCTTTGAATATTTGTGAGTTTTGAAGGATTCATGTTTGGTTATCATATATCTCATGTTTACGATTATTAATTCATAATTTTTATGCTTGTTTAATACTTTGATCATGAGCTTGGTACTTGATGAGCAATTGTTGGTGTCTTTCTTTGATTTAGCAATGAGATACTGAATTTGCTTAGAATAAGGGTTTTATGATGGTAGAAATTATCTCCAGCTTATGGATCATGACTCATTTACGAATGTGTAAGCATCCTCCAGGAATTGGGAATTGCTTCATTCTTAAGGCAAATCAATTTCTTGGGTTCAATTGCTTCAATTGAATCCTTGATTTTGATTAAAATGTTTGTTGTAAGCTTCCCCAACTTATTTGAGAAATTTTGACATATCATGCTTGATGATTATTATAACCAATTTGGGTTGAATGATTAACTTACATATTGTATCCTAATGATAGACAAAAAAATATTCATTCTGTTGAATTACCTTAGTTGACCAATTCTCTCTAATATTTGAACATCTCATCATCTTGCTTAATTGCAAGCATTTTAATATTTCAAGTCTTTTAGTTTTCAAACAATTCACCAAACTCTCCATTTTAGTTTAATTGTAGTTAATTGATTTTATTTCACTTATTCAATTGGATTGTTACGGTGATGGAATACAACCATTTCCGTGTGGATCGATCCTCTTTTACTACTATATTACGTTTTATTTGCAAGCAAGAGAGTATAATTTGCTTGGTGGACTTGACATCCCACCACTATTTTTTGAATTTAATCATAATGAAAGTTTGACTATTTGTTATATAAAGACAAATCAAAGATCTTGTGGATCAAACTAAGCCATTTTTTCAAAGGGCATTATTGGAATATGTGCAGGCTCGATTTTCGCTAGCAAAACTAAATCCTTCAACTACATACCATTCAGATGCTCCTTTAGTACCCGGTGGGGATATTCTTTTCACTGATGATGTTAGCTTTGAAGTCTTTTTGGATCATCTTCAACGTTTGGCAGTTCAATAAAAAGTTCTTCAGATTTTAAAACATTATACAACTAGATCTCTAATTTTTTAGGTTTGTCTTGAGGGAAGGTCTACTGGACTAACCGGCCGTTCAAAAAAAAACAAACAAACAAAAAAAAACGATTCTCAAATAAATAGTCAGATATAATTCAGCATCACTTGTTGCCAGAAGGGTAAAATTGTTATTTTCTCATTTTCAAAGTGTTCATCTGGTCTAGAAAAAAAATGGTCCTTGTTTATATAGCACTTACTTCAGACAAATAGACATCATTTATCCATTCAACATTTTCATGAAAAAGAAAAAAAAACACTTAATTCTTCACGTAGTAAGTTATAGAAAAAGTTTCAATAAGGGTGCTTTCCCATTAAGGGGTTGTTTGGTAGGATCTTAATTTTTAAGTTCTGAATTTTTAAGAGGTCTGAATTTCAAAGAGGGTCTCAAACTTTAAGATCTGAATTTTTAACATGTTGTTTGGTTGTAACCTCTGAATTACTGGACTGAATTATAAAATGACCATTTTACCCTTTAGTGTTATGTTTTTTGTTGAATTCAATGCTTATGTTTATAAAATAACCAAACCAACTTCTTGAATAATTATAACAAAAGTATAAACACAATACAAAAATCCAAATTAGAAAAAAAAAAATCAAATCAAACATATATATTTGACAAAAATCAAATCAAACAATGCTCAAATATAAAGAGGTAAAAGTATGATGCTATAATAAATAAATAAATAAAATTACATTGCTATTTCTTGTATTTAAACCGTACAAAAACAATCTTACAATAGCTATGAAAACAACTTGAACTCTATGCTTATATGGATCACATTACATGTATACAACCACATTCATTTACACATCTTGACAAGTATAATACCCTTATCTAAGAGAACACAAAGAAAAACTTTGAATAAATCAGAAAATTGAAACCATTCCATTCATTCTTTGTGCTCCAAATCAATGATATGTGGTTAGCTACCGGTGATTGTCCTGAACCTTTCTTGTCCAACAATATCCCACTGCATAAACATGGAACATTCAACATTAGTTTCATACAAATACAATCTTATATATCTTTTTAGAAGAGACAGAAAAGGAACATTCAACATTAGTTTCATCCGAAGTTCCAATTGCTCAAAGTCAAACATTAATGCCTAAAGTTCCAATTGCTCAAATGAGAAATAGAAAAGGAACAATTTTGACCAAAAAAACATCACAGCCTTCATCCATCATCATCTTGACCATCAAAAATCACACAATGCTCTAAATCAATAACAAATTTGGAAACAATACATCAGTTTATGATAATAATAATAATCATTATTATACCAGAAAACTATAAATCAATAACTAATTTTGAATGATACTATGTTTCACCACTGATTCAAAACATCACGGAAAACCTAAAATATGAATATTTAAAAACTCGGTATATTAAATCGATTTTCGACTTCACATCATGAAAACAATTCGATTTCTTGAATTTGGAGTGATTTTAGCAACTTTATACCTGACCAACGAAGGAGATTGGAGATCGACTGGTAGAGACCGACGTTGTCGAGGGCGGAACCTGGAGAGGGTGGCGCTTTCGAGGGTAGAACCAGTGATGTCGGAGCTTGGCGTCGAAGGTCGTAGTTTGGAGATGGGAGTCGATTTCATGGAGGTGGAAGTGATATCAGAAGTCATGTGAAACTTGTAAGTGTGCGAGGTTTACGATGGGGCGGCGATGCTATGCGAGTCGACAATGGGAATAGGTGGCCGACGATGGGATGACGTGTTCGGTGATGGGAGGAGGTGGTTGGCGTTGGAGTTGGTCGGAGGTGGGAGGTGGGAGGAGACATGAGAGGATCTGATGAAGGTGAGTTGCGTTCATATGAGATATGAGGGCAATACAGGGAAGGCTCGTATTTTGTTTATTCAGATATAAGTTTAGGTCTGAAAGTTTAAGAGGATTTTAAGAAATTAAAAGTCTGTTATTCATAGCCTACCAAACGCTCTATATCTGAAATATTAAGAGGTTGTCTCTTAATTTCTCAATTAAGACTTTTACTTTTTTACAATTTTGTTCTCATGTAATTATTCCTTCCATTTCCCCAAGTATTTGTTTACATCATTTATCTAGACAAACATTAACAGTGAAAAAAAAAACATGCCAGCAGATTGCTTCAATTTCATAATTTTAACTTCAAAATCAACAAGATTTTGGAAACAACGATCAAACACACATAATTTATTTGTAACATAGTACAAGATTTACATTACATGAGAACCTTCTTTTATTGATTTTCTTGAATAATAAAACAATATGAAAATATATATGTATTCTTGTATGGCAAATACAGATGATTTAGTTGCAGCTATGCAAGGATTTTGCCCACCAAGTAACAGTGTGGCATTCTCAGTTGCCATTTTATTCTGTATATTAGTTATAGCACAACATGTAAGTTGTGTTCTACTTTTTTTTTTATTGCAGTTGGATCTTATATTCATGTTGTCTCTTCTTTTATTTCAGTCATGTCTATTGCCTTCTTAGCCAGATGATTTTTGTAGCAGCTCATGAATTTTGCTATGAATTCTGAAATAACACACAAACTTACATGTTAATGAAAACGTACAAGTGCAGAAAAGCACAAATGCAACAAATAAAACGTACTTTCATTTGTTTTAGTTATTTTTTATTATTTTTTATAAATAATCAAGAATGTGGGTAAATAACTAAGGAAGTCGATCAATGTTATACCTTCGATACTCATGAATTGATGGATAAGCTTTTTCCTTTCATCATTTGCATGTCTATGTTTATCAGCTCCCTGAATACAACAATAAAATGCTTAGTACTTATTTATCCTATGTTCCCTTTCAATTTCAGTTAAAAAAATATGAGTTTAGAGTTCTTACGCTATATTCCTTATATGTCTTATCGATCTGCTTATGCATCGACTCCTCAACATTCTTCTTCAGTTCAACTGCTAGAGTCTGCAAAATAGAGAGAGTATTATAAATATTAAATGTTGAAAAATCGTTTATATTTATAGGTTTTATCATTTCTTACTTCAAAGATGAACTCAGGTGGCACACTATGATCTATGAGATTTTGAAGTTTTCGACGAATGTCATATAGCCTGTTAACATAATCAATTCAACATGTTAAACAGTACAATACAGAACAGGACAAAATAGAAATTAAAAAGATGAGAAATATGAATATTTTGTGTAAAAATGTGTTTAATAATGAAGTCGCTTAGCTTACTGTTTGGGGCTTTGCTTTTCTACTATACTTTTGGCAATATTTGCGATATCATCTTCCCACCCAGTCAATATTACTTGATCTTCCTCCAAAAGTGAGCTGCAGATATATTATCAGAAAACAAAAACAAAAACACATAAGGATCCACACAAATACATATAAAATATGTATAAGGTGAATGAAACAGAACTTATTTTGTGAGGTAGCTTCAAAGGAGCGAATAGCTTGTCGCAAGTTATTCTTGGAACTAACGGCTATTCTTTCAGCCAATTTATTTGGCAATTCTATATTTTCATTTTTTGCTATGAACTCCAGGACTTGAACAATCTGGAAACAAAGAGGAATAAATGTTATATATAAAATCTATTTTAAAAACATATATATAAAAAGTATTGAATGAATGAATGAATGAATGACCTCTTTATTAGAAGGTGGAAGGAGTTGGACCAATTTGCAAATGTTTTTAAGGGGTTGAAGCTTTGAAGCATCTTGACAACAAAAGAAGATTTTATGACATCCTCTATACCGCTCTATAACCCATCTAATATACAGCAATGCATCAGTTGACAGCTTGTCTGCTTCATGCAGAATGATGGCTGCAAATCCAACCACTCAAACTCCTTACACATCATAATACCAACCTACTTTTGGGTAAAAGATAAAAGTATGATGCCTGTATTGATAGTGAGAATAAAGTATGTTGCTATATATATTCTGTGATTTACCCAAATAATGAGTTATTTTATACCTCTACAGTTATCATTGCTGCATCGTAGCCCCGTTTTGTTGGTTAAGTTATTTGTCTCTTTGATGAGTTCAACGATGACATGCTTCTCAAATCCTTTTAGTTCAGACAGGTTTATTTCTACATGTTGAGATGATTCCTTCACATTCACCATAATACTGCTTACTTCTTCCCCCTGCAAATACACAAACCTTATCACACAAACAAAAGTAGATATACATGTATAAGGTATATGTATATATGTATCATTATGTATATATTAGTCGTAACACTTGTACTTAATGTTTATTTTTGTCATAGTTTCTTTGTATAGGGTTCTATGTGTAACATGTCATTCTATTTATGGGTTTTCTCTCTGCCTCTTTTGGCATTCGAGAGTTTTCTCTCTTGGTATCAGAGCGCCTAATCCGATCCTCTCCCTTTTCTCTCTAAAAACTCTTCTCCTCCTCCATGGCCGGATCATCTTCTTCTGATTCTCTCCTCTCAATGAACACTATTCTCCACCTAATCTCCAATCGGCTTACCTCCTCCAATTACCTCAATTTCTGCCACTTCTCTAACATCAGAATCTCCTGCCTCTCGTTGATGGCTCCTCCGCTAAACCGCCTTCCACGATTGTCAAGGAAGGGACCTCTGTTCCAAATCCTGAATTAACAGAGTGGGAATCTGCCGATCAAAGGGCAGTGATACTTCTTCAAGCTTCTCTCTCTGAAGAGGCTTTTTCAGAAATTGTTGGTCTCTCTACCGCTAAGGAAATCTAGGATGCCCTAGAAGCCGCTTATAGCAGCTCCTCCGTCGAAAGAGTTCAAAACCTTCGAGATCAACTCCGCCAGGTATCAAAAGGCTCTTCCTCTGTCTCCGATTTTGGGCGAAAATTTCGCACTATTTGTGACCAATTGTCGGCCATTGGACACCCTGTTGCCGATTCTGATAAAGTCCATTGGTTTTTGTGTGGTCTCGGTGCTCCGTTTGAGACATTCTCCACCGCCATTCGAGCATCTCGCTCTACTGTGATGTTTCGCGACCTTCTTGCTCAGGCCGAGGGTCACGAATTATTTATGCAATCCATCCATGGGTCTGTCACTCCTCCAGTGGCGTTCACTACTCATTCGACCGAATCTCAACCAAATCGGGGTCGCGGTGGTTGGAATTTTCGTGGGGGTCGAGGTCGTGGGCGTCGTCCTCCGCACTGCCAGCTTTGTCGCACAAATGGCCATTTTGCCAATGCGTGTCCGCAACTTGTCCGGTATGCTTCGTTCACTCCGGGTTCTCCTTCCCCTGGATCGGACACTGATCTTGCTCGGGCCTTTCATGCCCACTGCCACGTGACTTCATCTGGTCCGGATTGGTATGTCGATTCGGGTGCAACCGATCATATGTCCTCCACTACTGCATCCGTTACAAATCCGGCTCCTTTCCCCGGAAACGGAAAGGTTTTCTTTGGAAACGGTACTGCTCTTCCAATTTCTCATACAGGACACGTCTCCTTTAAAGGAGATATCCACCTTCGGGATGTGTTAGTCGTTCCGCGACTTACTAAAAACCTCTTATCTGTTAGCAAATTAACCCATGATAATTGCCTGGATGTTTTATTTTCTCACCCGCATTTTTACATTCAGGATCGAAAGACGAAACGGGTTCTAGCTCAGGGGCAATGTAGTCAAGGTCTTTATGTGCTTTCCACTGGTTCTCATGCCCTTTTTGCATCCACCAAAGCTGCGTTGAAAGCTTCTTTTGATTTATGGCATGCTCGTTTAGGGCATGTCTCTTATGACACTATTTCACTTTTAAATAAACAGGCCAGTTGTTGGTTTCCTCCATTTTAGCTAACCCGTTCATATGTTCTTCTTGTCAAATGGCAAAGGCACATCAGCTACCTTTTGTAAACAATGATAAACGTGCTATGAATGTTTTGGATCTTATTCATTGTGATCTTTGGGGTCCCTCCCCCATATGTTCTATTGATTCTTATCGCTATTATGTGTCATTTGTGGATGATTTTTCTCGCTTTACGTGGTTTTACCCACTCAAAACTAAGTCCGGTTTTGTTGATGTATTGGATGTTTTTCTCAAATATGCACAAACTCAATTTAATGCCAAGGTGAAGATTTTTCAAAGTGATGGTGGCACGGAGTTTCTAAATCACAAAGTACGATCCTTACTTGATATTAATGGCACGTTCCATCGCATATCATGTCCTTATACCTCTGCCCAAAATGGTCGGGTGGAGCGCAAGCATCGACATATTGTCGAGACCGGTCTCGCAATGATGTTTCATGGCCGTGTTTCCCCTGATTATTGGGTTCATGCGTTCAGCTCAACGGTCTATATCATAAATCGCCTCCCCTCATTTGTCTTGCAATATAAATCTCCATTTGAGTTGCTCTATAACACACCGCCCACATATGCTCATTTTCGCCCTTTCGGGTGTAGGGTCTACCCATATTTACGGGATTATGCGGATCACAAACTATCCCCTCGCAGCCTTCCCTGCATTTTTCTTGGTTATTGCTCACAATACAAGGGTTTTCAATGCCTTGAACCATCAACATCTCGTATTTACATAACCAGGCATGCCAAGTTTGATGAACAATGTTTTCCACTCCTTGATGATTCCAAGGCTACTCCAGCACATTTGCTTGCTCTCACAAAATTTTCCGATGCCATGCTACCTGCTCCGGTCTCGCCGACTCCTTCCTCTAATCCACCACCGTCTCCAATGCCATGCAATATTTGTGTTGATCCTGTCCCATCTTCCGCTACCATTGAGCCTAATCCCACCAATGATGCCACGGGCTCTTCCTCCGACTCCAGTGACACTGTTTCTGATACAAGTGATGCCCTGACATATCCAGGTGGAGCTCCTTCTGACTCTGGTGACGATTCCTCTTCAGATTCCCCACCGACTGCATCACCTACTCCGGCTTCACCGGTTCCGCCATCTGGTTCTTCGGTACCTATACCGATCTCGAGTCACCCAATGATTACTAGAGCCAAGGCCGGTATTTTCAAACCAAAACATCGTGCGGATATGGCTACCTCCATCTCTCATGGGCTTATTGCAAAGATTCACACTTCTACTGATCCAAAAGGGTACAAAGTAGCTGCTCGATCTCCTCATGGGTCCAAGCCATGGAACGTGAGTTGGATGCTCTCCGGAAAAACAACACCTTTACGTTGGTCCCTCGACCTTCCAATCATAATGTTGTCGGCTGCAAATGGGTGTTCCGAACGAAATATCTTGCTGATGGCGCAGTTGATCGTCACAAAGCCCATCTTGTTGCTCAAGGGTTCAGCCAAATTCTAGGTTTGGACTACTCCCATACGTTCAGCCCTATGGGCAAGGCTTCCACGGTACGTGTCGTCTTATCTTTGGCAGTGGCAAACAAGTGGGCTCTCCACCAGTTAGACGTCAACAATGCGTTTCTCAATGGGTCCTTAAGTGAGCTTGTTTACATGGAGCAACCGCCAGGTTTCCATAGTACCCAGTTTCCGGATCATGTTTGCCGCCTTAACAAGGCCCTTTACGGCCTTAAACAAGCCCCACGGGCGTGGTTTCATCGTCTCAGCACCTTCCTGCTTGCGAATGGTTTTGAGTGTAGTCGGGCTGACCCATCTTTGTTTGTTTTTAAACGAGACACATGCATTATGTACTTACTTGTATATGTTGACGATCTGATTCTTACCGGCAATCAGGACTCCGTGATTCGCTCATTTATCAACAAGTTGCATCTTGAATTTGCAATAAAGGATCTTGGCCGCCTAACCTATTTTCTTGGCCTAGAAGTGACATATACATCTGACGGTTTGTTTCTTGGTCAGTCCAAATACGCTCATGACATACTCCAGAGGGCAAACATGCTAGATGCCAAACCGGTGTCGACTCCTCTAGCCGCTAATGCAACATTTGTGACCACTGGTCTGTACGCTGATCCTACTCACTATCAGTATCGGTCTCTTGTCGGTGCTCTTCAATATTTAACCATTACCCGTCCTGATATTTCGTATGCCGTGAATCAAGTGAGTCAGTTTCTCCAAGCACCGACCGTTTCTCACTTTCAAAGTGTAAAACGGATTCTCCGGTATATCAAAGGCACCGTGTCTTATGGCCTTACATTCTCTCATTGGACGCCCTCATCCACTCTGCTTGGGTACTCCGATGCCGACTGGGCTCGTTGCCTTGAGACACGACGCTCTACCTATGGTTACTCCATCTTCTTAGGCGAGAATCTTGTTTCCTGGAGTGCTAAAAAGCAACCTACCATTTCCCGCTCCAGTTGTGAATCCGAGTATCGGGCTATGGCCAATACTGCTGCCGAGATAATCTGGATTACTCACTTGCTCCGAGAACTTCATGCTCTCCCGGATGCTCGCCCCACCTTGCTCTGCGACAACAAGAGTGCCATATTTCTCACACAAAACCCTATTTCTCATAAGCGTGCCAAGCATATTGAGCTTGACTACCATTTTATTCGGGAACTTGTTTCTTCCGGCAAGCTTCACACCAAGTTTGTTTCTACCAAGCTTTAGGTGGCTGACATTTTCACGAAGAGTCTACCGCGTCACCAGTTTGAATTCTTCAGAGACTTGCTCACTATAGGTCCCCCACCGTTCAGCTTGACGGGGGCTATTAGTCGTAACACTTGTACTTAATGTTTATTTTTGTCATAGTTTCTTTGTATAGGGTTCTATGTGTAACATGTCATTCTATTTATGGGTTTTCTCTCTGCCTCTTTTGGCATTCGAGAGTTTTCTCTCTGTATATTATTTGTGTAATAACGCGCTTCCTTGGTGATAATAATAAAGAAAAGGAAGCATTAGAGCCAATCAAGTTCGTTTGACCTAATTGGAATTTTATTAACTGCTAAAAATAGATATATGATAAATTATTTAAAGGAATATTCTAAAATGTTATAAGATTGTAACTAGACCATATATTTTTTCAGATCCAGAATTTCGTTTTCCCAGGTAATATCGAGCAACTTTCGAAGCCAACAAATTGGCTTTTTGAATTCTATAATAAAGTTAATAAATCCCTATATTTTCACTTGTTATAATCGTCATATACAACAATTTCCTTTTGTTTTTTATCTTGAAATAACTAGTAAGTTTCCACTTCTTACTTTGTTCGACACACCTAATTTTATCTATATATATGAATAAGATGGTAGCATTTGAACGCTCTACACTCAACTCTCTTCTAGTAGTCGATATTCAAGAAGATGAATATTTGCATGAATAGTTATGGCATATTTCAGAGTTCAGAGTATACCTTCAAGTTAAACGTTTTGCATTCATCTCGTGCCTGCAGAAACCAAGTTATTAGTAAATGGTAAGTACTTATAAACATTCTTACTATTACTCCATTTTTAGCGACAGAATAAATCCATCGCTAATATTTCTAACTTTTGTGATCTTCTATAACTTTCCCATAAACGATTCTATTCACATACTGATTTGGCTATATTGTTTGATTAATATAGAAAATAAGCAATTGTCGCTAATCTCTTTAAGATTAGCGACGGATTCAAGTGGTGTCACGTAGGATACCTGCACTTTATCGGGTCCATATGCTTCACGAAGCAAAGCCCATATCATTGTCCTTTTCCCAACACCCGCTTGTCCTTCAAATATAAAGTGGCGACACTCATCTTCATTTATCTACACAATCAAATCAAAATTATTGACACAAATTTGCCATTCTTCTTAATTCATATTCGTCTAACAACGTGATCTTAATTACCGTATGTTGCAACTCAATGGCTTTGTCCTTATTGCAAATAAAATCCTTGAGAGCTACCGGCCGGTATGTATCCGCCCATAAATACTTCTTCTCCTCCTTCAACTCACTCGCATCTTTTGCATTCACAACCATCTTTTTGGCG